CAAATGGGAAATGCTGCTCCCAATGCTCCGTAAACAGCATTTCCCCTGCAACAGGAGCTAAACCAATAATTAATCTAATGCTCTGGGGATGCAAAGTGGTGGTGCTGATCTCAGACAGGCAGAGCCCTTGGATTTGGAAGATCTCACAATTTAAGATGATTTCTATGTCTGTGTGTGAATAGGTAAGAAAGCACAGAGCTGTCTTTTTCACTTTTCTAATTATGATTATACAATGGAACAAATCGAGCAAGGGGGTGTGGGCAAAGAAAGTCTCAGGCTTCAACAGGATAGTAGATTGTGACTTCTCTATCCCTCCTAACCAGCAAAATAGAGAAGTGGCAATGTATGTTTTAAAATTAGTAATTCTGATAGGAGTCACATTTATAGTCGCCTATTTGAGCCAATCTCCAGTACGCCATTAAACCTGCATAACTGGATTGTGTAGTATCACAGTATTGATTATGGTGTAACTTGTTCACAGAAAAAAAATATGAGGGGAGAGAAATTCTAGGAATTTTATTTTATTTTATTTTTTACTAATGTGTTCATTATCTTTACTCAAGGGTGCGTGTGTGTGTGTGTGTGTTTAGTTGAATTTAAACCAGTTATTGAAACACCCAAACACATTCAATCCAAACTGGAAAACCCCTTGCAAAAGTCATTTGTGTGCCCAGCTGTTTTGGAACAAGCTCTTCCTTGGTAACTACTAAGGGAGATTTTAAAAAGTAGCTTAGCCTCTTGTTCCTCTGGCACAACATGCTGGAGTAGAAGAAGATTAGTTAAGACTAGAAGAGACAAGGAGATACAAAAAATATTATAATCAAGATGGCAAAGAGAGGATCTCTCTGCAGAGAAGAGAAACGTTAACTGGAGATCTTGGGCTAAAGATCTCGTGAAGGAAGTAGCATCATTTCATGCTTTATTTTAAATTCATAATATTTCAGCCTGACTCTGCCCTTTAGGTTTATTTAAAGATACAATATAAACAATGGAACTGAAACAACCTTTTTAATAAGAATGTTGTAACTTGGAAGCTGGTTTATAAAATTAATTCATTTGGATAACTCACTACCTCTATGCAGGCAATTAATCTGTTAAAAATAATTGATTAATCGGTTTCCCTGTCAGAAAATGAATCCTGTGAGTTTGTACCAATCAAAAAAGTTAAAGACAGGAGAAACTCAGTCTATCACAAAAGATGCTGGACGGCAACGATTTTTAAAATCCTATAGACTTTTATGGACATTGAGGGTATTCAGTCTGTCGTACGACAGAGTTTCTGGAATTCTTGTTTCCCCAGTCCTATTTGCAGAAAATAAATTCCCTGGGGAAGTCCATCTTTCTCAACCTGATATCTTTATAATTATGTTGGGAATGGGTGTTTTGTATTCCTGGCACATGTGAAGGTCACTAAGTTGGGGAGGTTGTTCTTACTTAACCAGTATACTTTGGTGTATCATCTACTTTACATCCAAAGAATACTTCTAAACTTACTTTTCCTGTTTGGAATTTTGCTTTTTTGTTTGATACTTTTGCAGACTTTTTCTTTGTTTTCCTTATTGGAATATTCAACTTCATCTTCCTATTGATTCATATTAAAGTTGTTGTGGTTGTGTTATTTAAACAACTTTTCCAAATTTGGAAGGATTTTTGCCTCCAATTTATTACTTTGTTTATTCTTTATTTCTATTTTAGCTAGCTTTAATGTTATATCCTGAAAATGTTTTCATGAATCTATTGCCAAACCTCCTGAGGACTTTGCTGAGTAACTTTCATTAAATTGGCTTAAATTGATTTTAAGAGTAAGATTTGATTTGACTTTGCCTCTTCTGCATTTGGACAACTTCAGGTCTAAAGTTGCCCTGACAGACATAGTCAACCCTCTTACTAGCTAAAGGTTAGAAACACACTGGGAAAGGATGAGTTCTCTGATTTCAAAGACTTGCTTGTAAGGTTCAAAATGGGAAAGTTGTGATTGAAGGTTAAAAATACTGTATCTAACTGTTCTGATTATGAACATTTTCTTTTATCTGTACTGCTGTCTTGACTTCTTTTTCACTCAATTTTACTTGCCTGTTAGGGAGAATTGATTATTCAATAAAAAGTTATTTTTAAATTTGCATTTGTTGTCAGTATTCAGAACCATTTTCAGCCAAACTGCTCAGCAGTACCCATCTAATATTGGCAGGCAATTGCAAATCTTCCTGGGAAATAGTGATCTAAAACAAACTGAACGTCTATGTTTTCTCTGATGATGCCATCGTAACTTCAGAGTGATATTAAGCTAGATCAATATTAAGGCAAAAGATCTTAGATATAGAAAGTAAAACAGAAATTGATGCTTTCTCTCATAATAAGCAAATAACCAAATTTTAATGCCTAAACCAGCCTCATATGTATACCATATCGCAATTTCAAATTCAGAAGAGCCTCATTTTTAGCTCGATTTGGTGCTCTTCTCACAGCTATCCTGCAACAGAAATACAAGGAAAACCCCACATGAAAATAAATTCTGCCCCTGTCTTATGGGTGCCATAGAAACCATTGACACCAATTGATTATTCCTCTTTTATTTAACTTCCTGGGGCACTCTGATAACTTTTATTTGTGCTATCTGTTAAACAATCAGGATCAATATTTCTCTCTAAAATTAGCAAAATTTTGCCACATTGTATGTAAGATTTGCCCACAAATGGTTGCTAATAGTTCTTGTTTTTAGGGGATTTTTTTTTTGGTTCATTTTATTGAATGCACTTTTATTGGTCAATGACTGAAATAAGATTTCTTGAAAAAAACACCTGCTCAGCAGCGTTTATCAGTCTCCTAAAGACATAGAGGAGAACTTTTGCACATTCCCTGTCTTGGTTTATTCCTTACTTTTTACAAAATTTTCCATTCTGGAAAACTGTGTCTTGGATACAAGAGAGTAGGATTAATTATTTATTTTCCTTAGCTAATTCTAAATTGCCATTAAGAGCAGGTATTTCTGCGCTTGTATATTTAAAGCTTCACCATTACTGTAGCTGTACAGTAGTGCAATTGATAGAAACCAGTACTCAGAAAATGGGGCTAATTAGTTGACCCAGTTCTGTGCCCCACTGCATAAACCCATTTAGATCTTGCTACTTTTCAGGAATGTGGGAACAAACCCAGCTATCTGATGTTCAGCCTTCTTTCTTTCACTGAACCAGAGATGTTCATTCTCCTTCACCAGCTTCAGTTTTGAAGATCTGTTTTTCTTGTTCCTTTTTAAAGCTTTGATTGTAAGACAAAAAGATAGAAAATGAAAAGAAAAAGAATACGGATTTAAAACTATTCCACTTTACTTAAGATTTTACAAGACGATAAAAGGAAAAACACCTCACCATAATTTTTACAATAATACTGAATGGGAACAGATACGATATATTACCCTTTAAGACCTAATATGAAAAACAAATCAGAACATGACCAACATAGCCAGGATGATGAAATTGTCAATCACATTAATAAGATTATAGTAAGTCTTTCTAATTAATTTGAGCCAGTACCTTTTTGGCCAATCATATAGGATCCAGTGTTTTAAATCCTTATATTAAAAGAAACCTGAACTTCAGATGCGATCAAAGTCTGCTTTTCTTGTTCAGTCGGCTTGCTAGCTCTCACTTGAAAGCTAATCCGGGAAGGGGCTGGGTGGGGTGAGCAGACTGAAGGGAAGGGGGTGGCACTAGGAGACTGGCAAAGCTGCCAACCGGGGCAGACTGGGTCATGGCTGTTGGCACCACGTCTCTGCCTTCTCTGTGTGAGCTGCATTAGTGATAGAAAAGTAATGCCCCCTTCGGACAATAAAGTGTTCTCCCCCTCCAAATCCAATCGTCCCCTAATCTGATGCCAGGGCTTTGGAGATGAAGTTCCCATCGCTGGAAGAAAACAGATGCCACCTCCTATTCAACAGACTGGTATAGAGCACAACAATAGCCCAGCACACAGCCTTTGCCAATTGGGGGGGGTTGTTCCTCTATTAAGCTTGTGTCTCCCCAAATAACAGCTGCAGAGAGACAGCTTAGGAAAGGAAACCTCTGCCAAGCCATCCCTACCCAGGGGCATGAGGTGGGGAAGGGAATGTGGCTTCTTTAAGGAGAGTGCCTAGGGCAGACAATTGCCCTCCTCATCGGCTGCAGGGATTTCACAGGTTTCCACGCGCCTCTCAAGCGTCACCATGGCACCTTCTTGGCACACTCTGCCCATATAAGACAGAGCCGGCGTTGCTATGGCACCAACGGGCACCTCATCAATTGAGGCTTTGTTCAAAGTTCTACCCCTTGAAACTGGAATTTCAGGACATGAGGAGCGGTTGAGGGGAGCTCCCTCTCCAAGCCCAAGATACGCTCCCCAGTCAATGCTTCAGACACCCCCTCCCTAGATATCACCAGTCTGTCACACAGCTCCGTGTAGGAAGGACGAGCCCAAAGTCCTGCTGAATAGCCCCATTCAAATCCCAGCCCTCTTGGCAGAGAGACAGCCCAGGACATTGCACTGTCTGAGGTAGAAAAATGGAAACGATGCACTGCCAGTTTCCCCCCCCCACACATGGTTAAATCCCCCAAAATAAATCAATCTATTGTCATTTTCTGACCTATTTTGCTATCCTAAATTGCTGCAGAAGTGATCCATCTCACCCCGCCAAAAATCCCTGATATCAGGGCCTTCCAGTCAACCCTTGGCAGAGAATTCCTCTTGCGTTTTTCCCCTAGAGGCAGGATCCCAAGACAGTATTTTTTTTGGGGGGGGGGGGGGGGGGGGGGGGGGAACCAAACCGGGAATAGTAACACCAAGGGATGAGGAGGAGGAAGAAAACAAGGCCCAAGTTTGCTAAAGAAACTTGGCAGACACCCATCTTGGAATGTGGCCATGGCATGAAGAGCAACCACAGGGGGAATTTACATATTGATAACCTGCAAAATCAAGCAATTGAAAATATGCAGACCAGTTTGGTCCAGGCAAGGATAATCTCTCCATAGCCTCCCTGATCCCAAAGTGTGTTTGCTGTGAAGATTTTCTTTGCCAGCAGTCTGTCTTGCCAGAGAAACGCCTTGATATTTTACAAAAGGTGATTTTAAGATTGCTTCAGTTGTTTACTGATGATAACCTCTAGATAAGGAAGTGATCCCAGACCTATCTTTCTCCTCTTACATAAAAAAATCTAGCAAGTGACTCTTCAGCTACTTACTCTATACCTAATACTGCAAGAAAAGTAACTGCTTCAGCTGTTTTAAACTTAAGACATGCAACTGTGTCCCCTCCCCCTCTTTCTTTTTGCTTAGGAAAAATTAATTCTTTTTTTAAAATAATGCTGTCTTAAGATAAGCTCCTTTTCACTACAATACTGTTGTGCTATTGCTTGCTTCACAAACATTAAGCTACTTTAAGCTAATCTATTTTAAATTTGTAATAAAGCATTGTCACAATGGCTTTCTCCAGTAATTTAGCTTACATACAGAAGTCTGCTACAATATCATAGTTGCAAGTACCCATTTTAAATTGCAATGCTGGCCATGAATTCAAGAGCAAACCTCAAGAAAGCTGTTTTATGTTTATCTTAATCAGCCTATCCATAACATGAAAATACTACTTATGAAGCAAGATTCTTATACTGTATTATTCAGAAAATAGATAACAGCCTTTGAGCTCTAACAAATCTTGCCTGTAAATAGTGTCAGTTATTGCTTTTCAACATTATTCAGGGTTCAGTAAGTGAAAGAATTACATTGAGTTCAAATAATTTCTGAATTAATCTTTAGAATTATTTTGAAAAAGCAGAACTATGAATTATATGGGTGCAAAACCAAAAACATTTCTGATAACATACCTGTTATGTTATGCTATGTTATGGTATGGTATGGCACAAATTTGTGAAATTATGCTGACGACTTTCTACTTTTAGTCTGCCCAGGTTGTATGACAGATAAGTAAGTACAATTCCTTAGAAGTAAGTTCAGAAGGGCATATTTCTAAACAGGTGAAAATAAAACTGCAAGTTTGATCACTTAATTCTATGTATTATAAATGGGGCTTTTTTCATTGTAAGGGCACAAAGTAGTGCAATCCTAATATCCTTTTCCATATGTCACTCTTTCCAAGTAGCACTTTTTTTGTAAACTTATATGTTATTTAATGGATTCCAGTCAGTCACTGATTTTGTCCCTGACTGTGAACACAACCAAAGTTATTGTTATTTTGAGCATACTATTTAAGAATTAATATTTTTATCATCATTGATAAAGATATTTAAAAACACAGCTGCAAGAATACAAGTACTTGAGAATTATTTTCTCATTTAAAAAAAGGTTGTAATGTTCACCTTTATTTTTATATAAAGTTTCTTGAAGAAAAATGATGGCCTTTTAAGCATTATCAGTTTTTCCCCCTAACTCAACAGGCACACACAATTTAAACCAAAAATATCAACATTCCAAATGAGTGACGTATCAAATATTGAAGAAAAAATAAGATGTTTTAAAATAATACTTACAATAAATGAAATATAGCAAAATCTTATTTTAAAGCTCACTGTTTAGAACAAGGACATTGGAATAATCTTAATCAGTAATTTTCAAACAGAAAACAATATGTAGTATTTAACAAATTTTGAGAATAAAACAACTTGGAGCTCAGAATTTCTTTGATGATCATTATAGCCTTCCCAGATTTAGCTTGATATGACCACTTTCTTCTTCTCCAGTCAAATCTGGAGAGAAGGCTATCAGTCTGCCATGCTTCTGCAATGGAAATCCATCTTTTTCAGAGGAGTGATCTCTCAAGAGAGGTATGGGGTTTTCATAGAAATTAAAGTGCAACCTGTACGTTTGTCCGACCATCTCTCTGTCCTGGGAACAGTGGGAAAGATATAATGCTTGATATAATGCTTGAGGGAGATTTTCAACAGATTGGGAGGCCTTTCTAGGTTACTCATAGAGGAGGAAGACTTTCCCCACCACAGGATTAAGCTGGAGTAAATTCAAGTTGGAATTTAGTTATCCTTGAGGGATAATGACAGATCACACTCAAAGATGTATCAACAAATCCACACAGGTCCCATTTCCCACCCACCACCTTCCCCATGTGTTCTCAGTAAAAGCTATATTAACAGGGGGTATTTTATCCACTTACTGTGCCTCACTCCAAGCTGCCATTTCAAGGCAACTTTCCCACAGGGGAGAGATTGATTGAGATCCTGATATTTAGATAGATTCCAGCATGCTTGCAAGTGTTGCCCTGTGAAAATATACCAGTGAGCCTCAAGGTGTCTATGTGCTTATATTTGTCTGTTATTACCACAAAAGTCTCATCCTTCTCCTTTCCCCTTCCTCTGTCGGGAAAAGAAAATATTCACTCCTTTTGTCCAGAGACAAATTTCGCTGTGCCATCAGAGCATGGACCTTTTCTTTGTCTTAGATTAACCCCAACAAGTTTATCAATCTTTGGAAATTGGGTACACAATAAGTGACTTTCACGGCATTCACAAAATGGTTATAATGCCTACTTAGTGACTGGGAGGAAATCAAGATTGTGCCATAGACTCTGCTTTTTGTTCTTCACACATTGCTTCCTCCTTTCTGCACAGACTGCATTTATATCAGCAGTTGTTCAAATGAATATTGCTGCAAGCTAGTTGGATGGAGAGAGAGCAATTCAGATGGATTCCTCCTTTAATACATTAAGGCATTGTCAAGCAAATTCTTACATTATTAAGAAAATATTTATGGGAAAGGCAAACACCTTTATTTAAATTACTGCTATCATCTGATGACATCTAATTTTCCTGATTTACAGCTTTATTATTAAACATGTATTTTGACTTAATTTCACTATAGAATCCAAGTGATCTACTCCAAAAACCACTTTGGGCACATGTAGAAAACTGTCGTGCGATCTCTTTGATAATATGAGAGGACAGTATATTCAATTAAAGCATGATTTTGATTTCACAATTTGATTCAGATGCATTAGCTGCATCTCAGACAGCCAGGGCTGAATTACCACCAGCACTGCAATATGTTTTGGACAATTCCAAGGTACAGTATTTTTAAGAGGCAAACAATGTTGTTAAGGTGGATATTGATTATTAGAACTTTAAAACAATAACGAGTTGGAAAACCCAGTTCTAAATCAGTGGTTGGGGGTTTTACAGTACTAATGAGAAAATTTCAACTGATCTTATGAAGAGATTAATACAATAGAATCATTTTCCTATTTCTTAGACACCTCTGAGAATGTAAAAATAAGTTCGGTGTCAAGTCAATTATGCTGGGAGTATAAAATAAATGGAGGGGCCAATTTTGCATATCATATGGGTCTGATCCACTATGATTCCATTTTGATGTGAGTTTCTTTTAATATTGTTTCAAGAGTAGTAATATGGTTTATAAAGGTTGGACATGATTCCAAATTATATGATAAACACTGGATTTATCAAGCACTGAATTTAACATAAAGGTTACTCTTGGGCTAATAACATGTGTTCAGTTTCTGCTTATGAACCAGCTTTTTTATGGATATGCCCTGTTTAAAAGCTGAGCTGTTTTAATATCTGTTATAATGTATTTTGTCATTTTTATTTTTCCCCTTCTCTGATGGCTTTATTGATGTTGCATTTTTTTTCTTTGTTTCTGTATATTAAAGAAAGCAAGTGGGGGGAAAAGCATGTGTTCAGAGACTGTATTGCCCAGCATTTTTCCTCCATGTTTGCAGTGCCACCTATTTAAAAAAGCAAAGGTTTACTAGTGCCAAGGAGCTTTTCAAACTCTTTAAAATTTATGTGAGACTGCCTTAGTACTGAAAGATGTGCAGCTGGGAAATTACAGTAGAATGGAGTAGTGAAAAGGTTGTGCTGAGTTTCCCCGGAAGAAAGGTTTGGGAAGGGGGAAGAGCCAGCTCTATTCAAGTCTCACTGGGGTTCACTACTTTTTCTTTTTTCTTTTAACAAAGTGACCATCTCCAACTTGCCTTTTCACTGGGGTTCTGCTCTTTAACTTTCAGCAATCCTTTCCTTTCCTTTCCTTTCCTTTCTCTTATGTAAATTGGCATGCAGCCCCATAAAAATGCAATGCTTGTAAGGAAATACAAGAGTAAAAATGTAACATTTTCTAAAATGGCATTAACGAAAGAGATATTTAACCTTTTCTGTACAGAAAATACAGTAATAATAATCTCATAATGGGAAAATTACTAACCATCACAGCAGGGAAGTGGACAGTCTTCCTATGATATTAACATGTAATTTAAATTCATAATTAGAAAATACTGTGCCATCATGAAAACAAGATTTTTTTCTAATGATGGCACATCTATGAAATCTAGACAGTGGCAGAGTATTACCCTGGATGCATAATATAGAATAGCTACTGAGTAAATATTCCTTCAGCATTGAGAAAAGATAACTGAATATAGCATAATACTCATCAATATGGCACTTTTTAGTATTAACAGCTGATCACAGGAAAATACTTTGATCAACATTTAAAGCTTCTTTGTTTGCGGCTTTCAGGAGTTATCTCCCCCACACCCCAATAATAAGAGTACGCAGTAGTTCTGATTAATGAGAAAATATGAGCAGGGTAAGAAAGGAGAAAAGATGGGGAGATTCAGATAACAGATAATCAGAGCTGGAAGGTCCCCATTTTAAATATTATATTTTTAAAATGTTAAACTGCATCATCTATTTTATCCATTTTTAATATTGGATATTGAGTCTGTTTAGTAGCTTATATACTGATAATTTTATAAAGATGGATTAGAACTACTTACCTATAAAGTAAGTGTAGCACTGCTCCCGAAAATCTTTGTTCAATTTGGGAATTCTAACTATGTCACATGGCCAAAGCAACTCAAGGTCTTTCATGTGGTCAGTTGCAAATTTATTTAATGAATGCTATGAGTGAGTGACACCTCACATCACTAAAAAGTATTATTAAGAAATAACAGCCACAAAAACAAAACCTTTTGATTAAACACATAGTGAAAGCAAGGATGAATATTAATATTAACTATTAATACTTTTCATTGGAGACTAAGTATAATAGACACCATCTCTCAAGTTTTATTTATAATTGGTTTTTTTAACTTTTTGAGAAAGGAATGAATTGTATCCTTGATTATATTTAATCTAGCAATAATTTATCACTTTGAAGCTTTTTATAAAGAGTATGAAGGGAAGCTATCAGTAATATTATGGAGATCTGAATCTCTATTCCTTCTCTTCAAAATCCACACAATGGATTGAATCAATCTGACAATGGCCACTTGCCCAATAGTGACTTGTATCACTGTCAAACATGTCTTCAGCCATTCTTGGGTAATATAAAGCTTGTCTTATTATTCCATTGGCACAGTGATGGTTGGTTGGGTGATTCTAGAAGATGCTGTAAGTCATGAGTAGGAAGCCTGTGCCAGTGGGAAACATCCACAGACACCTTCATCCCTTTCCAGCTTGTGAATTAAAAAGCTTTCCACCCAACCTTAAGTCTACATAAAACAATAACAGCATCAGAGGTGGTATTCAGCAGATTCTGACCAGTTCTGGAGAACCGCTAGCGGAAATTTTGAGTAGTTCAGAGAACCAGCAAATACCACCTTTGACTGGAGATTTTACAGTATCCTTACCCTGCCACGCCCACCAATCCACGCCCACAGAACCAGAAGTGAAAAAAATTGAATCCCACCACAGCATAATATATATTGCCCATATTGCCAGCCACTTTCCTAAGCCTATTGCATCCATTCTCAGCCACTGTCAAATGGTGTGATCCTGATTGGTGACAGTGGCCCCTGATATTGGCAAAATAGTTGGGAAATGATCTGCTAATCAATACATTGCAGTAAGAATAGCGTAGATTTGATTTCAGGGCTCTGTCTGGATGTCTCTAGGCTGTCTGAACCTCTTCCCACATCCCATTTGGACAACTCCCAAATTAAAAGAACATGAAATAAAGAAACATATGGGAAGACATCAAGACAGAAATAACCTAAAAGAGTGGGGAGCCAGACCTTGCCATGACTGTGTCAACAGGCAGTTTTCTGTGGTGCTGGAAAATTGAAACTAACTACAGTAGCATTTAGGGAAATGCTATTTTACTAAAAGGGAGAATAGAATAGAATAGAATAGAATAGAATAGAATAGAATAGAATAG